TTGATAATTGTATGACCACACATTATTGCAATCCAATCAGCCAAACCAAGTTGACATAATTATCAAAATAATAATATTTATATTTTTCATTTAATCAATCATTAGTGATGAAATTATAGTATATTACAGCAATGCTTCTAAAAAATAATTATGGATCATAATTAATCAATTGAAAGGAAAAGATTAAAGATTCCAAAAAATCTAGTGACAAATGCCACCATTCTAAACCATGGTTGGGTTAATTTAACCTCGCAACTGACACTGGTCAAGGACGTCTCCGTACAGAGTACCGCGATATTCTTATTATATATTAATATATTTTATTGTTTTATTTAAATGTTGTTTCATCATAAATGAATTTAGAATAAAGAGTTGGTATTTAGACACGTTAGCGGTTAGCCCACACAAAATTTTTATTTATTTACTCAATTCCAATTAGGGTTACTGAGATGTTACGATGTAATTAAATAATAATCCACTACACACATGTACACTGGAGTGTGTGTGATTGATTACGTGCAGTTCAACGATTAATAGACACTTTTGGCTGAATGTAATTAATTAAGGAAAATAAATACTAAATTGTGTAAGGTAAGGTTTTGGCTACTTTAAATATTTAGTTAGATTTCTAATTAAATTACTTGGATACCTAAGAAAAAAATATTTGAAGAAAAAAAAAACATTAATAATTGGAGGAAAATAATAAATAATATTTAGTATTGTCCGAAGAGTGAAAGGTGAACCTAGGCGATAAAGACAAAAGAAATATGAAGGGGGGACGAATGAGATAATGCCAGATAACATTTTATGGGGGAGGAATTAATTTCTTTGTTTTCGGATAAGCCCCCCTAACTTTAATTTGTCTTCAACTTTATCCATCCCTCCTTACTATTGCCCCATACACCCCCCATCATGGTGGAACTATGTACTACATTTTTTTTGTTCAATCCAGATTATTTATTTTCTTACACAAATTCATAATTCAATATATAAATATAAATATGCATATTATATATTTTAATAATGTGTGTATATATATATATATATATTTAATTTGTATTTATATATGTGTTTGTATGTGTAGAGGGAGACCATGCTGATAGTGAGCAGTGTAGTAGCAGCAAAACTCAGGGGGGATGAACTTTACTATTAAACCCGGTCCACACTCACACACTCATGTGAATGAATCTCTTCAACTTGCTCTCTTTATCCTACATTAAAATTAAAATTAAAATATAAATTATGAATATAATATTGTTGACATTGAAATTTCGGAATTTTTTTTACCAATCAATGACCAAATAAATTGGTTATTAATCGGGTCTCAAAATCGAAAGTCTACAACATATTTGGACTTTACAAATGTCTTAAATGGTTTAATCCATAAATAAGTAATAAATTCTTATTTTTGGATTAGCTAATGGGGCCCATATTTAGTCCAAACCAATCAAAAGACAAATATCCAAGTCTACCAGCCCATGCTAAAAGTCGAAACCATAGCTCGTGCCTATAAAAGAAAGTTTTGGCTACGTGCAAATACAGATTCACCTGGACAGATATCGAACTCTCAAGCCTCAACTGCGAATTCATAACATATTTAAATTCGAGATGTTTACACTTATTCGGTTCAAGAAAAAACTTCTAAGCCCTTGAAGAATCACGATGATTCTCGGAGATTGTAACTCATTTTCGTTTGATTAATAAATATATTTGTTCCCTAATTTTCAAAAATCATCAAACTAAATAAATTGAAAATTAAAAATGTCAGAAAAAAAAATTTGTTCTTGAAAATTGGAAATATTTAACCTACGGAATTCGAAAATTACGTTCCAATTTTAACAGATGCACAAAGTCCACAACATACAAAATAGTTAAACCCCCTCCCCCACCCCCACCCCCATATGAATCTTCCTAGTTCCTTACCATCTCTAGCTAGGGTTGACCCCATCTCACCCACATCTCCATATCTCCAATTTGTTTATTTTATATTTTTATTTTATTAAATACCAAAAAAATTGTACAGTATGCAAGTACTACTATACAATAAATATATATGTATATATATTTGCACAGAAATATACTTGGGGGCTACTATACTCCTATATATATTCATCCCATTGTCTCAACAACTTAATTCATAAGTCACAATTCACACATTTCTCTCTCTCTTCTTTCCCCTCTCTCTCTCTCTCTAACTTCTCTCTCTAAAATTACCATCTCACACACACAGAAACACACACACACACACACACACACACACACTTGTTTTTCTACAACAGAAGGAAATATGGATTTAAGCTTCGCAGACGAGAGCACAACCAGCGAAACCGTATCAATCACGCCGGCGGTGGCGGCGTCAAAGTCGCCGCCGGAGAGCCTCTGCCGCGTCGGCAGCGGGGCGAGTGCGATCACCGACGCGGAGAACGGCGTGGAAGCGGAGTCGAGGAAGCTGCCGTCGTCGAGATTCAAGGGGGTGGTCCCACAGCCCAACGGCCGGTGGGGGGCGCAAATCTACGAGAAGCACCAGCGCGTCTGGCTCGGCACCTTCAACGAGGAGGATGAAGCCGCCAGGGCCTACGACACCCGCCGCGCAGCGCTTCCGCGGCCGCGACGCCGTCACTAACTTCAAGCCATTGTCGGAGACCCAGGAGGACGGCGTCGAGACCGCCTTCCTCAATACCCACTCCAAAGCCGAGATCGTCGACATGCTCAGGAAGCACACGTACGGCGACGAGCTCGAGCAGAGCAGGCGGAGCTACAACTCCAACGGGCGGAGGACGGCGGAGGACGGCCCGTTCGGCTTCTCCGGCCGCGGCGGCGACAGGGCGGCGAAGGCCCGGGAGCAGCTATTCGAGAAGGCGGTGACGCCCAGCGACGTCGGAAAATTGAACCGGCTGGTGATACCGAAACAGCACGCGGAGAGGCACTTCCCTCTGCAGAGCGGCAGCACCTCGAAGGGGGTTCTGTTGAACTTCGAAGACGCCGGCGGAAAAGTTTGGCGGTTCCGGTACTCGTACTGGAACAGTAGCCAGAGCTACGTGTTGACCAAGGGATGGAGCAGATTCGTTAAGGAGAAAGGCTTGCGCGCCGGAGATATCGTCAGTTTTCAGAGATCGACGGCGCCGGATAATCAGCTCTACATTGACTGGAAATCGAGAAATATTAATAACGGATCCAATGCGGCGGCGGCGGTGGTGGCGGTTTCGGGCCGGGCTCAGCCGGTTGTGATGGTTAGATTGTTCGGAGTGAACATATTTGAGGCGGCGCCGAGTGACGCCGCCATTGATGGTTACGGAAGTTGCAGTGGGAAAAGGATGAGAGAGATGGAGTTGTTGGGATTAGATTGTAGCAAGAAACAGAGAGTAATCGGTGCATTGTAACAATTAGTTTTTATTTTTAATTTTAATTTTTTTTATAATTATTATTATTTAAATTGTTAATTTTAGAGAGAGAAAGAGATGAGAAGGTGGAGTGAGATGGTGATGCGCAAGTTGCCAGAAAATAAATTAAAAAGGAAAAAAAGAAAAGTTTCCAATTGTACAGAGACAGAGGTTAGCTGAAGAGAGCTGAACTTGTTAGAAAATGGAAATATGCATAAACTGTCTATTTGTTGTTCTCTTTCTTAGTTTTGAATTAATATTATATTAATATTAAATTAATTATCTTTATTTTATCTGACTTGCTATTGGTCAGTTGTTTTTCTTTTTTTCCTTTTTCTTCTAATGTTTGTGGAATATCTTTTAGCTTTCCGGAAAATATCTATTACTTGTACTTGTACCTATTTGTATTACACGTTACTCCATACTTATCCCATTTATATATATTTTATTAATAATATTAGTGTCACTACTTAGGTATAACCTAAGTTAAATCACGAAATAACCCCTTATGTAACTCATGTCGTTTCAAATTACGTGTAATCTTCTAGATTATATACAATATTCTCCAGTTTGTAACTATTTTACCCCTCTCGAGCTCCACATTTTGAAGTAATGATGATCGTACAAGATGCATCGGTTTTGCACAACACGAGTACAAACTACA